AGTTTAAACACATTTTCATAATTCCATTTACGTTGAAAGTGGTATTACTTTTTTGCCTTTGTCCTGAAAATAATGCATTAAAATTATTTATATTACATTTTTCATGTTAAAGTGAAAATAAATGATTTTTCGTTTGATGTTAACGACCCTAGTTTCGTTGGAAAATAACTAGAAAGGTTTTTTTAACTTACAATTAATCAACCAACTTCCCGTTTTTCTAGCTGATCAGACATTTAAAGATGCTAATATACAAAATAAAATTAAAAAAATCTGCATCAAATATGGAAGATATATTTCGTTCATTATTCTTATAAATATTTGACTTTTTTTTCTTATAATTAACTTTTAAATATATTTTAGTATCAGATTGAATAAACATTTTTTCTGTAACAATCCAATTAGAGAAGTGAAGGGTCATTGAAAGTGTCTGTTACTCATGCAAAATAGAAAAATTTAACAAATCTGGTTTAGGAGGCGTAAAATCAGCATACCAAATAAGCGTAATGTTTCACACTACGAAAAAAAGTGGATTGGTGATTTAAGAAAACGAAATCTTCAAACTTATAACAAAATTCGATTATTGGAGATTACAAGTTGTCAGTATGATCGATAGGTATTATATAGCAATAAGCACGCTACACATCTCTTTTATTTTGTAAATATTTTCATTCAAGAACCATGTAAACAATATTATTTCATCCCCCATTTACACACATGTGAGAAAAGAAATTTTAAATTTATCTTAAATAATTACTTATAATTAATTAAAATTACGTAATTTGATTATTATTATGTCGAAAGAATAAGAATTTAAGTAAAATGTAATTTATTACAGAAGTTCCTTCGCACATTTTAGATTTAAATTGAAATGAAAATAATTTCATTAAATTTTCAGATAATCCGTATAAGAAAAATAAAAAAAGATAGAGACTTTTTACAAAGTAATTTATTTTTAATGTGGTGGGCGATTTTATTATGTTCTTCATCTCATTTTCTATAATTGAATTGTCGAGAGTAGTTGAAAGGTACGAGACAATATAGTCAAGGAAACGTTTTTGCGATGTGATTCGATGAAAGAATATTCCTTTTTTTGATTCCCATTTTGTCTCAAATTAAATGAATCTATTCATTACTAATGAATTACGTTGATTTTTGAAAGGGGGTTTCTTCTTTTAAGATTAGCTTACACAAAAGTTAAATCACTTTAACTTTTTTTAAGCAATTCAAACTTCAATTTTATTACATAAGATGAAAAAAATTCGATTTCCATATCGAAAATTTGATCTTAAATCAAGTTAACTTCAATTGTATATAATATAAAAAATATCTGTATGCTTAATCTTTTTCTGCCTATCAATCTACATTTGTAATCCTTCTTCATTTTATTTTAAATATAAATTAATAATTTATATTTTTAGAATTATTTAAAATTAAAAATTATAAAATGAATATCTGTTCAGGAAACTGTTCATAACTTATTCAGAAAACTTTAAAATAAGATTTCAAAAACATTTCACTTAACTAGTATAAACATTTTCAATTGATAACAATTAATTCAGATTTTAATGGAATAGTTAGTAATCCCGATTTAGTTAATATCTTAGTCTATTTCTAGATTGTAATAAATATTGCACAAATTGTTTATTTAATCCAAAATGTCGTCCTTCTCTTTCACGACATTCATATTATAGTAGAGGTGCAACAGCAGTAGAATCCGTTTAAGATTTATAATCAGTAAATATAAAAAATATCAATTTTCAGTGTAACATATTAATTAATTTTTTGGTTCATTGTTTCTGTTACTAGTTTATTCCGATTTACTAATCCTAAATTTTGGCTCTTTTAGTAACTTCAATCACACAAGGGTACATTAATTGAATATGTAGACTTTATTATTGTATTCGGAAATGCATTGCGGGTTCTATAAACTCTTCTTAGATAGTATTCGATTATTTAACACAGATTGGCATTAAAACTGGGCAATTAAACTGGATATATTAAAAACCTCTATATGGATAAAAGTACAAGTGATAAGATTTAAAATAAATANACATTAATTGAATATGTAGACTTTATTATTGTATTCGGAAATGCATTGCGGGTTCTATAAACTCTTCTTAGATAGTATTCGATTATTTAACACAGATTGGCATTAAAACTGGGCAATTAAACTGGATATATTAAAAACCTCTATATGGATAAAAGTACAAGTGATAAGATTTAAAATAAATAAATAAACTGATATAAAATTGGGTTAAAAACCTTTTTTTTTTAAAAAAATGAAATTATATGGTTTTAAACAAATAATAATAATATAGTAAATATTACATAATAAAGTCTACATATTTAATTAATGTACCCTTGTGTTACGAAAAATAAGCCAAAATGTAGGCTTAGTAAATCAAAATACTAATTATTTGCATTATGCTTAGTTTTTTCTTGCTTTTATTAACTATTTTTATTGTTATTTGGGGAAAACTTTAATGCCTTGCGTGGAATTATTTTTTTGTGTAAATAAATTAAATGAATTTTTAATTTTATATTAAAATATTTGTCGTATATACATATATATTATATTTTCTTCACAATGCTCTAGAGGTTTTTCTATTTTACTTAATAAGTATTGAATAATAATTTTCATGATTATAAAGTTATTTAAATTATTTTGCATTCTTATTTAGTTCGCAACTTTTGTAGCAAATTAACGGTATATTTTTTTAGAGTTTTAATTATTAAAAGTATGAATATTAATCTTCTACTGCTCAAGTATCATTTTGCTTAAATATTTTTAAATTAGCTTAATTAGTGCTAAATAAATTTGAATTTGAATATATCATAAATACAAATTCTGGCGTAATGTATTATATAAATAAAATTATAAAGGTGTTAACGAATTTGGGATGATAAAAATATCTTTAATTTCTTAAAATATAAGCAATTAATATTATATAAAATTATTTAATTTTTTATCTCAAAGTTGTTTTAAATGTATTTTTATTTTATTTATTTTGTAAATATATTTCATTGAATCTAAAACTTCTTTATTCTACTTCGTTAGAATATATTTGAAGAGTTGCACTTACATGTCAGTAAATGTTTCTCTTTATTTTGGCATTTACAGAAGTTTATCTGGAACTAAGTAAATTATCTTTCAAAGAAACTATTAGTAGAAACAAAATGAAACCATTAAATTTGCTGAATAAGAGTTTCTACTAATTTCATTTATTTCTGGAATAATAATGGAAATAAATATATAAAAAGTTTCGATTTTCTTCTATAATAAAATTTTATTTATTTATTTATTTATCTCCTGTGATAAATTTTTAGTCTTCCAATAAAAATAAGTTTTTTTTTTTACTATCTATTCTTAACAATATATTCATATGTTCATTTACATAATATATTAGGTTATATAAATAAGAAGTCTTTGCATGCAATCAGAAAACTGAAAAAACAAGCATATTTATGAAAATTTTAAAAGTAAAACTGAATAAAAGTCATATATCAATATATTGCCGTCAATATCAGCATCATCTAAGAGATGTCGACTTTGAAGCTATTTTTTCTTGAAAATTTTTACCTGCTGAAAAAAGGTTTCTAAAAAAAGATTAATTGTGTCTTTTTAAAGAGAAAAGAGAATCTGAATTTATATTAAAATAACATCGTTATTAATAGAGGTTTTGAATACATTTATGTCAGAGTTGTTTCCAAAATGGATTGATGTATCAGAAATTTATGTTGACCATTAACGATGGATCAAGAATTTAATCAATTGAGCAATTTTTGATTGCATGTCTAAATGTACAATTATAAATAATTATTTGAGTCAGGCAAGAATTTTTTTGTAAATTATTTCTTTCGTCTAAATGCTACTGTCTTCAAGTATATTATACTATTTATAGATCTCGTCGTCATTACTTCAAAAGAAATTATAGTAGCGTGTAAGATGGTAGAGGATAAAGACATAATTATAACATGTTATTCTCTGATGGATGGTATCAAAATTCACAACTTCAGGACAAGCTAAAGATAAGAAGAACACAGAAAGTTTGGGAATGAAAATTCGATGATTCCAAATAAAATTTTATTTGTTACATTAATGATTTTCATAAAGAGTAATATTAGACTGTTTTCATTTTCATAACATGGAAAAAAAATTATGGTAAACATCTGTACTTTGATACAAAGCAATAAGTTTTAATTTAGATAGATTGCCACAAATAAAATTCTTATGTGCTTTTATTTTTCACATATATTATGATTTATATAAAAAATAAAGTTTTTGTTTAAATTAATTTCTTCTAGGACTAGAGAAGAAAAGAAATTGAATAAATATGATTTAATAATATATAGAAAGTACTAAAGCATTTTGTTTTACGTATAAGCTTTCAAAAGTACTCATATTTTATCCATAAAATTTTCTATACAAGATTAAGTTTTATAAAATATTTTAATCATACTTTTAAAACTATATTTATTACAAAAAAATAAAACAATAAATTTCTTGTTTGTTTATTTCTTTCTTATATTATATAGGATATAAAACTGTACAATTTATTATGGAAACTAAGTAAAATAGTGATGATTTATTCTTCTTTATATCAACTTATATCTTTTTTTTATAACTTTTGATACTAGTTATAGCATAAAATATATAGATATGTATGTAGTTTGTATGATGTAATCGTTAATAACTAATAATTGTTAATAAATACACAAATAAAATTTATTATACTATATATACATGGAAGAAGGAATTAGTTTTATTTTACATAAGTTACAAAATAATTTAATAGTAGTAGCAAGTCCGAGTCGTTGCTCACTCTTCACTCAACCATAATTTTATCAATAATTAATTGTAAATAACATCAGAAAAGGCATTCTATCATCTCATCACAATCTATCAATAACTATAATTTAATTGAACATGGCATAAACAGAGTCAATCTATCAATAGCATTAAAAGTCATATTAGGATAATTATGTTGCATGTCAAGAAACGCTTCAAATATGATTGATATTCATCAATCAAATATCTGAAAATGCTTGACTTTTATAGTTAATAATTGACTGAAGAAATAGTTTTTTCTGTGCTATTTAATAATATATATAAATAGATAAACTTGGTCAATGATAGTAACAAAAATATCCAAACAAATTAAATGATTGCATCCATTTGATGATTAAAAATAACAGTAATAATTTAAGATTATAGGTTTTTGTTGATATAAAAAATATTTTGATTAGTATAAATGACATAAAAAAATATTTTAAAATAATTTTTATATCATGCTTTAGCTGAAATTTTTATTACAACAACAACATGATATAACATTTCATATTTTCATTCCATCGCGCATCTTACGACCGGTATAAAAATATCTCCTGTAAAGTTTCTTTTCTAGATATGACATCTCCCTCCTCGAAAATCAAAAATATATATATAAAGGTATATCTAAACAAGATGGAACTATGAAGTACGTTTTTACAGTAAAGTGAATGTAGCTGAACTACCCGCCAAGACATATTTACTTTCAGGTTCCACTCAACATAGATTTGTTTAACACATCAGAGTGTCTAACTCGATATTCTTAAAAATCATTCTACCATCCGACAATTTTAGGAAAACTCTAGAGGTCATCGTTCACAAAATGCCGAAAGAAAAAAAAACAAAAAAGAATTATTGATTCGAAGAATTTATTTTTTTTTTAATCTTTTGTTTAATCGTTGATAAGTTGATTGATTGAATTTATTATTTCTTACTTTTTATAGTCCTTTTTTTAAACAGAATCTAATTTTTTATATAATATGTTTATCTTATTTTTTTACGCTTTGGGTATACTTAATAAACATTTTAAGGCGTTTAGAAATGTAAATTCTATTCATTAATATATAAAATACCTTATATAATTTAATTTTATAAATTTTAAACATATTTATTTATATATTTTTATATTTATTTCATTTATATTAGTATCCCTGTTTCGAATATTTCAAGATTAGTGTTATTTTTTTTTCTATATTTTTATCTCGGTTTCTTGAATTATTCAAAATCACGACTATTACATTACATGTGATCTTAATATGTATTTTCAATTTTGTAGAATTGCATTTTTTATTTTAAAATTTCCAATCTTTAACGATGTAAACTACATTATTTACATCGAAATAACAGTAAACTAATAATGTAGCCTATATATTTTACAGGTCACCTCCAAAACTCAATAAAATAGGAATATTGCGATTATTTTAAAATATTATAATACAGTAATTAATAAAATGGGCCAGCCGAGTTGTGAATGGGTGTATATTATTCAATATTTTCTATGCTATAAATTATTTATTTAACATGATGTGATTTTGAACAGTATTTTGTAAAGTTTATTAACATAAATTGCAATGAAGTTCATTTACTTTAACTGTTTTTGTGTCACTTTTTGTAGTATTCAATTCCCTATTGTTAGCTTTAAGCAATTGTAAAATAATTAGATTCGTAAAAAATATATAATTAAATATTATCTGAAAAATAAAATTAACAAAAACATTAATTAATCTTTGAAAAGCGAAATTTATTTTATTAATTTTGCTTCAATGTTATTTATAAAATTAAAGATTTTTTTCGTAATTAAATTAATCAACTCAGATTTTTTCGTTTATCATAACATTAAATTTTATTTTAAAGATTTTAAACNATCTTAAAATATAATAAGTTATAGACTTCTGTCAAAACAGTTTGATTTTTCTCTTCTTTGCTGAAGTTATAATCTAATTTTCGATGAATTTTCTCAGTAAAGAAGTAATTGCATTTTTCTTGCCATTTGAAGTTTTATAAGTTAAAAAAAATTACAAAAACTTCGAAAGTTAAAGTGAGATTACTTCACGCTTTTTAAATTACATTAATTAATAATAATAATCTAAAATAATATATAAATATACTTTTATTATAATCTTTATAAAATTAAAAAATGTATATTAATTAAATTTTTTCTCAAAATTTTCAGTGAAAAAGCTTGTCTAACCTTTAAAAGTTAAATGTTGTTAAAACCCTTAAATGTATAATTAAAACCCTTTCACAATTATGAAGAAAGCATTGTTTTTCATATTATTATTTTAACAATTTGTATAATTAATACCTTATTTTTAATATTATTTTTGATAAACATTTTATCAATGTTTAAAATAAACAGAAGATAAAACAAAAAAGAAAATATAAAGAAACTAAAATAACTTAGTTAAATAGATATTTATTACATGTGTGTATGAATGTATTGATGTGTATATACGTGTATATTAATAATTATAAAATATATAGGCCTCTACTTCGGATTTATTTAACTATTTATTGATTCACTATAAAATTTTATTCAAACGATAAATGTGAGTGAAGTTTTTAAAGAATTAATCATACTAATGTAAAATGAAAACAAACTTTCAGATTCAGCACAAATCATGCAAAATAATATATACAAAATTTCATTAAATGATATCCATATAATGCATATTTTATCAAAATAAACTGATAAAAATCCTCCAGTTATTTGTAACTGTTGATCTGATATTAAAAACCAAGTATACAAGTTAGAAAATGAAGTAATGATGATGAGTTATACAAACAATAGCTGAACGTAACAAAAACTGTAAATAATTTAATAATTAAGTTAGAAGTTTGTATTTAATTACTATACTACGTGTTTTAATTAAAACATTATTTCTTATTTGGCATTAAATATTTTAATAATAAGATATGAAAAACAAGATAATAGTTGTTTGCATCTCACGTCGATATAATAAATGTTTACTACTTAATGTACTTTTATAATAAAATTTCTAAATTATTAAATAAAAAAATAATTCGTTTATTAGTAGGTGTTATATAACAATTACTATGGTTGTTGAAATACTGAATATAAATGGGGTTTGCTTGCAAAACCTCCGCGGGCGAAGTCGCGGGTAACAGCTAGTATATTATATATTAACATCGTTGATATATAATACAGAATATTTTATAATATATTTTTTTTTACTTTACTGTCTGGATTTTAGATGGCATTTAAAGATATTTACGAAAAAGAAAAAATTTAAATATTTAATACCACAGATATTTTTTTTTATATNTTAATTAGCAAAAAAAAAAATGATATTTGTAGAAAATTTTAAAATAATTTCAGTAATTTCTGATAATATTTTGAAATATTGACGATTTTTCATCCGTCGAATTGAGTTTCTAAACTTTGTGAAAGGTTATTACCATTATTGTGTTCCCTTCGAAGCCGATTAAAGAATAAGAAAAAAAAGAATTTGCATATAAAGACGATAGTTTTAGAATGAAGACTTAATGTGCTAATAAGCAGAAAACGTGTGTTGAATTTTGATAAGGGTAAAAATCTGAAAATTTTAAGGTAAATAGCTTTCAACATTATCTATATCATGAGAGAATTGTTAAAGTATGATAGTCTCGATTTTATATTCACGCATCAACATCTTGTGCATCTGTTTCCATCGTAAAATATTATGAAGAAACTTATTGAAAAGGAATATTTATTATAAACGACTAAATTTCATTTGGTAAAAGCTGGGTACATCATGTGGTGGCCGCGTAAAACTTCAAACCCTCATAACTTCTGGTAAGTGCATCTTTCGAAAAAATGCCTTATATAAAAGTTTACTTGTTTTCAATATGTAATCATAATAATCAATAAAACAATGGGATTTTCACCATTGTAACACCACTTATGATAAAACCGATAGTCCAATCTTGTGGTCTCTTTGTAGTCCCATTTTTGGTTCGATGATTTTTCTGTAGGGTGCATATTTTTAATTACTTCAATAGGTTTATTAAAATGGACCGCTCTGTCATTTTTAAATTGGGTTTTAATATTTCTTAATTGATTTTTTGTTTTACAATACCCATAATGATTTTTTTTCATAAGACTTATTTTAGTCATATAAAAATTTAAAAATAAAAATATTAACATTTAATTTATATCGTATAAAAGCATGAAAATTTTATAAAGTTTTTGAAATTGAAATATTATTCTTTACACCTAGAGTTATAAAATTGTGTATTTATTAAATTTCCGCAATTTTAAATAAACTTCATTTTTAGATTCAAAGTAAAAAAAAAGTCTTTCAAGACTGTAATTATAATTCTTGTTTATTATAATTACAACATAATCAAATTTTCTAGGCTAGGAAAACCTAATTATAAAACTTAATGGTTTTTATAAAACAATAATGCATTTTTTAGAATATTTTTTATATTAAATTGTTATATTTATTAAAATAAAAATATTGATAAAATATATCTATTATTTTTATAAATACGACTGTAAAAAATTAGTACAATATTTAATAATACATTTTAACAATCCTTTAAATCCATATCTTATTAATGATCGTTTTTTTATTTATTATAAATTTTTAGCATTTTTATTTTGTAATTTTAAAATTATTTCTCGAAAAACTATTATCATTTTTTCAATTCAGTTTTAAAAAAAATTATTGAAGAATGTAAAATAAAAACCAAGTGCACTTTAAAATTATAGTTAATGCAGTTTATTTTAAAATAAAAAGTCTAACTTAAGACTTCTTTTTATTTAAATGCGATGTTATTTTTAGAAATAAAAGTCACCCCTCAAAATACCTAATAAATCGTGAAAATCGTTATCATATTTCTTTACTATATACGTTCTTTTTCGAATAAAAATATCTTAAAATATATTATATCTATTCTAGTTACATTCTGCTTAGGAAAGCAAAGAAGTTGCTAAAACTCGTGTGTCATATCAAAGCATATTTTTTAGCCACTCTCCTGTCTCAAGAAATGGACCTTGACAAGACTTTGATCAAGCTAGATAAAATCCACCTTAGGAGTACAATCTCTACTTTCTGGATTTATTTCCGGCCTCCTAAGTCTGTCTGTGGATATTATATTCTCTTGGGTATTGAAGTCTGCCCCGAGTCTAAATCTCGGATAAATTCCTAACATCAAGTTTCCGAGAAGAAATTCTCTTTGATATAACTACTTCAATAAATATAAAATGCGGAGTATATATGCAAAGTAAAGCAATAG